ATATACGGCAGAGAAAAGAAGATGGAAAGATAGTGGGGTCGGAAAATGTCCAATGTATATTTCTTGCACTGCTTCAAATACAACCGTTGTGATATTATCTCAAGACAGACTTAAGAAAAATGATGGGGATTTTAGAGTTGTTTTTTTTACCTAAATGACAAATGTAGGTAGCGTAATAAGCCGTCTCATGACCTTCTAAGCAAGTTGTTTAGTTCAAATCATTGTAATTCAGATGGCTATATCTGTGCTCTGTGGCAATATAACACAAAATGCTGCACACCCTGAGAAAGTTTACTTTTTTCCTTGTTACATTGGGGTGTGTTGTCTGATTGAGCGTGCATTTCAAGCTCGTAAATCACTGTGGAAAGTGATGCCCACTAACTATCTGAACATGAGATCAGCTGGTTCAAAATTTGACGCCCTAAGCATGCATAGTTTATTTGTATGCTTAAATATAACCTCTTTTAATCTGTGGAAAATTATAGAACTATGAATGATGCATCCAGTGGTATATTTTTAGCCTCTGGGTTATAAATAGAAAGCCTTTAAAAGTAGCGTCAAAGTTTTCAAAGGTCACGTTTTTCTTACCAATAATAAAGAAACTACCAGCTCAAAAAGGGCACCAAAAGAAAGGGCAGTTCATTTTGTATTTATTCACAGAAAGTCTTTGGCTTTGGATTATTTTGCACATCCATTCTTCTGTGAAACTCGAAAAGTAAATGATCCCAACAAGAGGAGCACTTGCCACACAAGGTATAGAGCTGAACCACTTGGCACAGGGCCTGATGTGACGACAGCCACTAAAAAGCTCTTAAATTTTTGTAATATAATTTATATTAAACCAATCCGCATTTTTGAGAAAATAAAATCCTGATTTGCAATTATCTCAGTCTTGAAAAAAAAATAGTCCTAATAGCTATGTTGTGATTTTATGTGTGGATATTTGGTGCATTTGACACTGCTTTAACATCTTTCTAACATGAGGTTACAGCCTATTAGCACAGTATTTTGATATATATCAAAACTGCTGCCACTTTCATAAAAAATGATGGAGAGGTAAAAGAACGAAACATTTCGCCTTTCACATGGGATAGCATAAATTTATCATAGTCACTTTGAAAATTTAGCTTCTGGTACCTACTAAATTTGGCACTGACAATAGTAACAGGAACTTCCCAACCCAAAAATTAAAGCTGACAATATCTCCGCACCTGAGCCAAACCATATCCGTATCATCATAAGAGGGTCAATATAATTATGACATCAGACAAGCTCAGATAGGCCTAGCAGAGAAGCACAAGACAACAAAGCGATTCCCCAGGAAGTCACATGAAAAGACTTACCATTTATTTACAAAATCAACAAGTTGTGGTGAAAACTGCTCATCCGACAATTTCAGCTGAGGCTGCAGAAAAAGAAAGCCACAAAAAGAAATAAATAAAATGAACAGAAAGTGTAAAAATCAGATAAAAATAAATAACACAAATATTATGTTTTACAAAAATTTTTTATACAATCATTCAAGTGCATTAAAGCAACTTTTACCAAAGTATTTTTTTCAAATAAAGTAAAAGATTTGGCAAAACAAGCAATTTCCCCTCACTGTCTACCTTCTCTGCCACTCTCCCCTTCCTCTCTTCCCTTCTCCTTCTCTCATCTCCTCCCCCCTCCTTTTTTGCCTCTCTCTCTCTCCTCCCCCCCTCTCCCCCCCCCCCCTCTCTCTCCCCCCCCCTCTCTCTCTCTCTCTCTCTCTCTCTCTCTCTCTCTCTCTCTCTCTCTCTCTCTAAGAGGGGGAGCGGGTGGAATGTACGGCGGGGGTAGTAGATAGGGCCGAGCTGCGCAGGAGAGGGAGGAGAATGGGGGGAGGGAGCGAGCAGTGGATGGTCAAGGGGTGGGGGGAAGAAGATGACCTTGCCTGGGGGTCCTGATGAGGCC